ATCTCCTGCGGTGGGGAAATAGCCGGAGTTTGCGACGGCGTTAAGTTCTTGATGGAGTGGATCGGTCATGCTCACAAAGGGATCTCCGAAGGGGTTTATGTGAAGATCTGATGGTGGATGCGGCGGAGGAAGGGGCCAGATGGTCGGAGGAGATGTTTCCGGCGATAACACGTGTCCTCCGATTCCTCTTACGACGTCGGTTAAGTCTCCTTGAAAGTTGTCCATCTCAAGATGCTCAAAGACACTGCACATAATCTACTATACCTATGATGATGATGAGTGTGTCTTGTCTTTGTGTATATAACTATATATATACAAACGAAAGAATCAAAAATCAAGAAAATACAATCACGAGGAGATTATGCTTCTAGAGCATCGTGTTAGTGAGTATTTCCTTGGGAAAATTTGTGGTTTTCCTGAGAAAAGATTGAGAAGAAGAAAGGTTGATGATGATGAAGAGAGAGACGCTGACTTTTCGTGATGAGACGAACATCTTCTTCCCCTTCTACATGTTGAAGAGAGAGAGAGATTTCATATAAAAATATTATATTAACGGATATTTAATATTAAATTATGGACGGAAATATAAGTTTAAAGTAAGTGAGATCAATGGCCAAGTCTTTGTACTTTTTAGTTTAGATTATCTTTCTGAGTTTACTTGAGTTTGTGAAGTTCTAATATAATATTTGCTTCTTGATTACTCGGTGCAAATAATTGGTTAGAATAGAAGTTATCCATTTGATATAAATTAATACCCTTTTTCCTGATCGCAAGAAGGATAAAAGAGATTCATATTATTAAATTCTTTGTGAGAGAATAAACGCACATCATTTGTTTGAATACCCTGTCAATTTTTATTAATCTTTTAACTTATTAAGGGGGTGATTGGCGAGGACTTTAAAATCTGTAATTTTGTTTTAAATTTTTTAAAGTCTAAGTTTTTTCAATTTTACTTTGACTTTCCTAAAATCACTCAGAGTTTTTCTAAAAGCCAACAATTCATGACTTTTAGTTTTTTTAAAATCATAGTCATAACTGAAAATAAAAAGTCACAGCAAAAAAATTAACAGTTTTTTTATAGTAACAGCCTAAAATAAAAGTCCAAACCAATCACCCCTAATTAACGGAATACGAACAAAAATTAATTAAAGACCTCTCTTCCTTTTTTATTTTAGATTATGACAAGACCTACCTTGATTATAAATTTGATAGTCATGTAAGAAGAGCACCATTATAACACATCATACGCGTATTATGTATTATAAAGAATTATAAAGAAAATATTAATTCTCTGGACAATTATTCATCTAGATTCGCGAGGGAATTGTACACTTGCGAAAAGAGAAGTGATGAGTGATAACGGTGAAGTTGAAGAGAGATGCGGCCGCGATTACCGGATTACGTTTCTTTCTTAGCCAATCAGAATTTGCCACGAAAACGTTATGACTGATATTTCTTTTTGTTGAACTCAGCAAAACTTGACCATTTCCGGCTAATTAACTGTAGAATAAAAATGGATCATAATTGATATGAATGGAGCAAAACGACATTAAAACAAATGGTTGGTATTTGTTCGTTTCTAACATATAAGATATCATTGGATGGGTTCTCTTATCAGAAACAGGTTTATTGAAGGTGTTAAGCGGATTCAAAATATATAATTATGTATTAATTAAAAACAAATGTATGGTGTCATTTTTTTAGTGAAGTTATTTGGGAAGCAAATTTGGTTTATGTCACTTTCAAAGAATTTCACATTTGCTTGTATTGAAAAACTTGCGATTGAACAGCTCTATTTCCGGTAGACCAACATAACTATATCTGTTGCACCATGGTTCCAGTCTTTACATTGCGATTTAATTATGGGTTGTCACTTTTAAACGTCTTAAATAATGCCCAAAAAATCTAGATTTTCTATATAATCCGGAAATTACTATGATTTAAATTAGACATGAAGTTTGAATCCCATGAGTGTCACCTTCATTGTGCAATATGAAGGGGTTTATATAGAGGTATTGTGTAGTCCAAATTGGTAGATCGAGTTTTTGAGTGTTAGATAGGATGCGGATTCAAATTTACTTCGTATTTAACTTTCAATTGTAATATATATTTAATGGTGTAAAATTTTCATCTTGATTCACACTATTAAGAACAAGTAAATGGCTAGAAAGTATACTAAACTTCGAATCATATCTTTACAAATAATATAATATATAAAAGGGATAACATAACAAAGTATATCGTTGACAAAACAAATAGTATCGTTATTAGGATGTGAATATTTGGTCGACTTCATGATGAACACTTATACCCACGTCCGTGCGTGCATAACAACTTTATCAATAGTTTTAAAATACATTAACAATCCACATAAACATTTCAAAAATATCATTTTGAATAAAAATGATCATAAAATAGCACACTACAATATAAACAATCAAATTAACCTAACAAGTCTTTTACATGTATTAAAAATTAGGTAAAGTATGATGAAGTTTAAACCAAAAAAAAGGTTTATTCATGAAGTAAGAACCAATGAAGGTTGTTCCCAAGGAGATATACATTCAAAAGGTACACATAATGTTATGCCTATACACCAACTTTATAACATTATAATTTTGGTAATAATCATTTACCTTGAGAATATTGTACACTATTGATTAAGATTAGGCTTTTAGTTTCTTGTGATAACGATAAAATTAAGTAATGAGTCATTGGGCTTCGTAGCACGTCGGACGTAGCCTTCTTTTAACACGAGTGCACAAATATTGACTTTACGTGTAATCTATCCATACCCTTCCTTCCCAAGCTCATTACTAAAAAGTATAAACCCTAGTCACACTAGTAGTTTATTAATCTTATTTCTTTGACACTGTTTATATGTCGGTTCGCTATAAAGCTATATAGTAGTAATATATTTATAGAAAAAGATTTCTTAAAAGGTAGGTTAGTACACATGATTATAATGCTTTCAAAGATTACTTGATTTGATTAGACGCTTATTCAGTTATTCGTGTGTTTGTAGGGGCTTTGTAATTTTTAATTTCCGGGTAAAATTAATTGAAAACTTTTGGGTCGAATCTTATACATTTGGTCTCCTTTCCAAACAAAGAGTAAACTTGCATTCCGATCTATAAGGCATATATATGATGAATTTAAGGTCTAGCGAGCTATGACTCTGCAACTGAACTAATCTAAACGGCTTAGATCTCGTAGTTTGTGTCTCACTCCAGTCACTCGTCTTGTAAGAAAATACAAAAGTCAAAAGAAGAAAATATATACACAAAAATTAGAACAAAAAGGAAAGCAAAACAGTATTTCGGATCGATAATTATTGGTAGCATAACAAGAGAAAAAAGAAGAAGAAAAAAAGGTAAATAATGAAGAGAGAAACAAAGTAATTGCAGAGTGGAAACTAAAGAACATGAGTTCTTTTATCAGTCATTTGTTTTGTCAGATAGCTTGGTTCTTCCTTCATTGTGTCAGTATGTTCCATTACGTAACTATTACTTTCACTCTCTTTTTTTTTTTTCTTTNTTTATTAAGTTGAAATCATGAATAAAATGTATATTCGGATTGACAATTCGAGAAAAAGAGGGAAAGGAGCATGCAACAGTTCAATAGAAAATAAATGATTTGACTTGTTTTGGATGTTTCTTAAATTTGGAGAAATCGATTTCAACTCAATATATCATATTGTGGCCAAGTCGAAAGCAAGCACCAAAGCCAACTTTTATGTACAAAATGTATATTTTCTCTTTGTGTTTGTAAATACTTATAAATATATATATATAAAAAAAAAAGCTTACAAGGTTAGATAACTGGAAATCATAGAAACATTGTAATATGTTTGTATTCTTTTGTTAAAGCTATAAAGTTTCCTATATGCATTTTGGTTTAATTCTCTTTTGGGTGTTCACTGTTTTTTTACATTACATGTATATGAATAAAAAGATGAAATTTACGCAATTGAAAGGAAATAACTACCCCCGGGAAGTATTGTGCGATTGATTCGGATGCGAAAATGGTGATTCGGAGGAGCCTGTAGATCCGTCAGAGTAAATAGGTGAATCAAGCAAATCCTGTAAGGCTTGATTCTCACAAGGATACGGTGTTTCTGCGAGAAAACAAAGAAAATTTTTGTATCCAAAGTAGATTATCGGGTTTTTAAGTTTTGAGACGAAGAGTTTCAGCTTTTTACCGAACAGTGTCTTGAGAGATGGTTTCTTTGCGGTCTTACTCTTCCGCTTCAGTTCCGCTGCGTAAAAAGAGTTCAATGTAAAACGATAATGAGCTTTGTTATATAACTGCAAGATAACTAACTGGCGAACTTCGTTCATGTGAAAAGAAAAGTTACTGACCCATGCCAGGGATATGGTGTTCATCAACTATCTCAAGATTCTTAAATGTATAACCAAGGAAATTTACATCTTTGGATGGGATCATCTGCAAATAAGTTTGCAAAACAATTGTTAAGAAAATGATACAACTTGATTGATTATACACTTATACGGATGAAAAAAACGGAAGAAAATAGTATATACCTTTCTCCAAGGTCCAGACTTTGAAGAGGTTTCGCAAGTAAATGGAACCTGCTAATTTAAAAGTTGATCGATATTTCGCTAAGACAGGAAAGCAAAGATAATGTTGAGGACTTGTTAAAATGATATTGAACAGACCTCGTCAAACTTTTCAAAGTTTTGGGTATCGAGTTCATGCTTCACTTTTGGTATATACGGAGCATTTGACTCATATAGTCTTTCCCAATCAATTCCTTTAAACCAAGGGTGTGCCTTTTAATGGAAAACAAATCAGAAATATAATATGAGAATTCCATTCTAAGATTAAGATTTTTTGTGTTGAAAGCAAAGAGAAATGATGTTTTAAGTACTTTGATTTCATGAACTCCTTTGGTTCCAAGCCTCTGTTCGACATTGCAGAGCAGTCTTCGGATGAGATCTTTTACCTCGATGGAGAGCTTAGCTTCATCAGGGAATTTCAAGCAGGTTTTCCAGTTTACAATCTGCAGAGAGAAACTGAGCAATTGTTTGATAAATATTATACTGGTCAAACACAATAGGGACAAGTCTTGGATCATGCCATACCCACACAATAGGTGTTACCAAAAGATGGCTCAAAACATAACACTAGTCCGATTTTGTTGTCAAAAGATAGGCCAACCATAAGATATTTAATATCGAACAGGGCAATAATATACCAGAGAGGATATTTAAGCCAATATATGCATACCTTTCTACATGTCGCCAAAGGCTCTTCGGAATAGAATGGAGGAAACCCCACGAGCATCTCAAACATAATTGCTCCAAGGGACCACCTATTGCCAAACAGTTTTAGAATACAAGCTGAATAAATTATTTGTACGGCGTAAAACACAAGGGCTGCTTGTTCACTAACCAATCGCACTCCATTCCATACCCTTTCTTCAACAGCACCTCAGGGGCAATGTAATCGGGAGTGCCTACTGTAGAAAAAGCCTGAAAGTTACATGGAAGAGCCGCATTAGTATAAAAAGACTACATGGAATCGTCATATAAGAAACTAGAATAGAACACTTCCAAGGAAACAAAGGCACCATAGACATTTTTTATGTTCAATCAAAGGAATTATATGCCTTTTTCATTTCATCTAAGTTGGAAAAGGATCGTTCTTAATAGAGTATTTCAGAAGTTTTCAGATAGAACCGAACACTGCATAAGTCAATAGAGTCCATACCAGGGCCCTTCTGTTTTGTTGCCAATGTAAAAGCTGTTCCTGCTGAGTCCGCTTAGGTGCAGAAGGAGGCTTAAAGAGTCTATCGTGTTCTGCTGCAGGCCTTGTATTTCTGTCAACAAGCTCCGTCTTGAAGTCTGGAAAATTTTTGCTTTCCAGGGACTTGCTCAATCCAAAATCCGAAAGCTTGATATGGCCGTTACGAGTGATCAATAAATTATCAGGCTTTATATCCCTAGAAAATCAAAGGAAGAAACTGAAGTTAAACTATCACTACATATCAACTGGAAGCTAATTCACAAGCACTGTAGGAAATAATAAAGACAATATAGAAGACTATCGACAAGACTTCAACATTGTAAGAAACTTGGTTCTAGTGAATGTCAAGGTAAGATGCCAAAATGGGCAAAAGAACAATAAGGGAAGCTTCAAGTGTCAGTTGTAAGAACCTGTGGACGTAGTTATGCCTATGGATAGACTCAATAGCCAGGATTGTCTGTGCAACATAAAACCGAGCTTCATCTTCCGGCAAGATATCCTTTCGCATTAGCAGTGTCATCATATCACCTCCAGGGAGGTATTCCATTATAAGATACAAATGTTCTTCATCTTGGAAGGAGTAGCAAAGCTTGACGATGTAAGGACTATCGACTTCTGCAAGCACATTTCTTTCAGCTTTAACATGCTCCACCTGATATTTACCACATATAGAGGGGATTAGTGTATAAACTGATGTAAATGAGTTACTAATTTAATTATAACTGAAAGCTAGGATTCATAGAAATGCTATCAGACAGTGTGCGGTTACCTGCCCTCTTCGAAGCATCTCGGATTTCTTTAGCTTTTTCATGGCATACACGCTGCCAGTAGATATTTCTTTACAAATTCTCACCTGAACATATTTACACTATGTAAGATCCCTAACGAAAGCTTTGTTTCATGGAGACAGAATAATAGCTAGTTACGGTAGGAGAGACCAGAAAGAGAGGCAATTAAAAAATTCCAAATTTTAAATGCATGACTATATCAAAATATCAATGTAAAGAGGAGACAGCAAATTTATGCTAACTCTTCCTCAACGGAATTGAACAATAAGAGAAGCAACCACAAAAACGTTTGAGGAGAAATACCTCCCCGAAAGCACCCCGGCCAATGATGTTCAGCAGTTCAAAGTCATCAACCCCCATTTTTTTTCTTTGCAGACGCATATATTCCATTTCCTTCTTCTCAAAATTCTTCAGTATGTCCATCTTGTCTTCAACAGGAACATCAGCATCAGCTAGGTTTTTTTCCAATGTACTCCGACTATATTGAAGAGCAAACTGATATCAGAATGTTAAATTAGATCTAAACTAGTACCGAAATGATTTTCGAATCAGAATGTGTAGAGCATCATCTAGAAAACAAAAGTCAGAAATCACAGCAGAACACTAATCTCAAACCTCAGTACTGGAAAACGCTGACAAGTTATTGGATCCACATAAACTACTCTCAAATTCCATTTGTAACAACCAAAGCACAAGAAGGTAAACATTAGCGTACCGCTCTTTTCTTTCCTGCAGACTCTTCTTCTGAATTTTATAATGATTCTCGATATATTGCTTCGCTGCAGCGACTTTTTGTTTCGTAGCATTTGATGGTGCATCATTCATAGGAGGTTTACCAAGATTCTTCACATTTCCTCCTCCTTCTTGTCCTCTTTTAGTAGGGCTGGATTTATCCGGTTTCTGCTGCCGTATCTGAAACCAACTCCTTGTCGACTCCGTCGCCATTTTAAAAACCGATATAAACTCAAACGTAGATCACAGTAATCGCTTCATAACAACTGCACAAAAAGCAAAAAGCAAAAGGGATTCCTACGACTTAAATTGATAGTTAAATTACTCGAATTCCAAATCCAAACTGCTTCAAAATTTGATTCAAATTCATCAATAAGAGTATGCAACACAAGTCAACACCACAAATTCTTATCGTTCACTTCAAGTTAATCAATCCCTATAACATAGCCAACATATTTCACATTGAATCGAGTCTAGTCACCAACATGCATATCAACACCGATTTCAAATTCGAAATTGAAAAAACATTAGAAAATCAAAACTAAGATAAGAATAAACCACAGACTCAAATTCCAAAACAAGATACGAAAACCTAAAACCTCCAAGC